GAGATGAAAAGAAATGGATGAACTTTAGGTTTGTTCTTTAGGTAAGTAACAAGACATGATGATGAATTCAGCGAACAAATGGGACAAATTAGGGGATTTTGATTTAAACAAATCGTTTATTCGTGATTTTATTTATTAAAATGGGGGAAGACTAGAGAAGCAGTGCCATATTCTTTAGAGGGGTGTGGAACTCAGATCTTTATTTGAATATGTTAATAGTTATGATGTCTTTTAGACATTGAAATTGAAGTGTCAAGTGGGCAGCTGGATGCAAAGACAAAAGTAGTCCTCAGGAAAGAAGCCTTAATTGGGAGATGGCAATTTTGGAGTCATTGTTTTAGAGATGATATTGAAGTCACAAGCATGACTTTCCTGCTTGTCCAGTTTCATTTCCTATAAAATTCTCAAAATGTGTTCTATTCTTTGACCTTTCTTCAACTACTTTAAAGCTTTTTCTCAGTTCCTTAAGGCAGCTCTCTCAAAGGTTCTTACACTATCATACACTTCTGTGTGGCTCTTAGATTGATTGCTACTTTGTGATGCTTTGTTACATATTTTCCCCCTAACTAGATAGATAAAACTCTTCTCTGTGCCTTCTTTTCATTCCTTACAGAGTGTCAGGACTTGGAGCCTTAAATATATAAGAAATGCTGAGTGAATAACAGGAACATCAGCCAGTGAAGGATAGCAATAGATAATTTTCCTTGCCCTCAGTGAGATAAAGTTGTGGTATATAAATCCCGAAATAGTATTGTGCAACCTTTTATAATGGAAAGTGAACATATATGTAAAAAAGCAAAGTTACGAAGTACATATAATATGATCTCATTTTTGCTTAAAATGTACACACAGGTACACTGTAGTTGGTGCCACACAAATTCTGGAAAAACAGAATACTAATGAAATTTTATCTCTGGGTAGTCACATTATGATTATTGCTAATTTGTATTCATTTTTTTTTTTTCTACAGGAATCTGTAAAGAATTTGTGTAAAGAAAACAAGTTAGGCTTTCTTAAAAACCATTTCTTCCATTCCTTAAAGACTTCTTTCCTTAGTAAAGCATACCTTGATGTGTAGCATTGTCTTTTTTAATTAATATAGCATCTGTTGGGCCACCTGAAGGGTATTTTTACTTCTGTCTTGCAGGTTATCTGGGATACACTAGGAAACCGGCAATTTTGTTCCTTCAAAATAAGGTAAGACTGTATTTGCAACCTGGACTAAAATTCTTTTAGTTGCCCTGTTGGTAACCATTTTATAATCTATGTTTATTTCCTCCTATTCTAGAACCAAGACTCAGGGCTTTTGCAGAAATGAATACAGCCTAACTGGACTATGTAATCGATCATCCTGTCCCCTGGCAAATAGTCAATATGCTACTATCAAAGAAGAGAAAGGTAATTCCTTCTTAACTTCTATAAGAACTACTAAACATCCTTTTAAAAGGATGTTCCTCAATCTCTCTGAAGTAATATTAAAGATTTTTTTTTATCCTTCAGGACAGTGCTACTTGTATATGAAAGTTATAGAACGAGCAGCTTTTCCTAGGCGTCTCTGGGAACGGGTAAGACTCACAAAGAAACTGTAGTGACTATTAAATCAAGAGCAAAAATGCCACATGACTTTTCTCTCTTCCTTGACCATCTCTAGATTAAACTTCTGAAGCCATTCCCACTAAGATTTTTAATGGTGGTGTTGATGGTGAAATCTTAATCATTTGCCCTTGCTCCTCAAGCTTCCTTTTTCTGTTTGGTAGGTTCGGCTTCATAAAAACTATGAGAAAGCACTGGAACAAATAGATGAAAACCTAATTTACTGGCCCCGCTTCATTCGACACAAATGTAAGCAGAGATTTACCAAGATAACCCAGTACCTAATTCGAATTAGAAAACTTACACTGAAGCGACAGTAAGTATTTGTATGTTTGTTTATTTTGAAACCTTCTTTACATAGAGCATGTTATTAATCTGAGATTGTTAAACTGCTAATAATGCTTTCTATTAAATTCAGCTTTGTATAATCTTGTATGATACCCTAAGAAGAAATTTTAAAGGTGTGTCTTTTGATTTGCAGGATTTTTAAAACAAGAGTATAACTTTTATTATCTCCCCACTCCTTGCCTGAAAATATACTTCAAAATTTTTTCTTTTATAATTCCCTGAGGAAATCTTAACATTAGGGATTTGAAAATTGTCTAAAACATGATAAACAGGAATGTAAGACTTTTACTTTCTAAAAGTGTTAGACCCTGATGTTTTTTTCATTGTCATGTGCAGAGAATGTTAAAGATGATATTAATCTTCTACAGGAAATTCCTATTTATTAGTTCACTGAAACATTAATCTTTTTTTTTTTTTTTTGAAACATTAATCTTAGTATAGCAAATGCCCTCAGAAACCTCAGGATGTCTAAAGCAAACAAAAACACCTATGTTAAAATATATTTTAAAATAGCTGGTTTATTATAGCATGGAAATTTTTAAGTAGTATATTTTGCTGTATTGAGCTGAGCCTTATAAAACCAATTCCAATCCTTTTATCTTTTAAAAGCAACACAAAGCACATGAATCTGGATTTTCTGATAAAGTGTTTTATTTCTCCTAGGAGAAAACTGGTTCCTTTGAGTAAGAAGGTAGAGCGTAGGGAGAAAAGAAGAGAGGTAACGTAACTTACTTTTCACACTCATAGCTTTTGTATTTTCATTGTGGTAGCGGTAGTAAGCAAGGTACATGAGAAAGATTCAGTTACTGTTTTTCATGTAAACTGTTCAGCCCTGGATAATGGCGCACTAATCAATAGCAATATTAGTTGCCTATGACAGCTGAGTTTTTTGTATTTTAGGATTATGTATTTTTAGGTTAAAATATGGATGCTTTAGGGATGTGTATAGTGGAAACAATGTCTTAAGAGATTAAATAGACAAAAACAATGTCTTAATACAGATTCATAACTCCTTAAACTCTTGAAGTCAGATGTTTTAAGAATTCAGAATTCTGATGTTGCTTTGCTTATATATGATGTTATCTTCAGCAGAATTTGAGCATTATCTTTAAATAGCCAGATGTCTGGTCTGGGTGTATTTGATTGATAAATTGAATTTTCTGCAGTTTAAAATTGCTGGTAAAGAATTGGAAACTCTGCTTTGATCATAGATTATTTACTTGGTAAATTGGGCAATTTTGTTACTAAAGTGATGAATAGTAACATTATTGTATCCTGGAACATGTGCACTAGTCAGAAATCTCCAACCTTTGTTCAGAACAGTATACCTGTCCACCTCCTAAAATTACCTTATGCTTCAAGACCTAGGAATCTACTATTCCTGACCAGTTCAAATTTTCAGTCCTTCTTGGTATTTGCTTTGCTTACCTCCCTTTTACCTATCCTTTTAAGAAATAGCTTTATTAATCTTTTGATGCTTTTGTTCCCATGAATAACATATAAAGTTCTGTATCTCAAATATATCACATCATTGGTCTCCAAACTTTTTGATGGGTCCATCAATTAAAGTTTTTTGAATGTGCTGGGCATGGTGGTGCTTGCCTATAATAATAATAATAATAATAATAATAATTTCATCCTGAAACTCATTATTGAAGTGTTGCCTTTAAATTGTTTTTTATGAACTGTACTTAAGTTTTTCTGCTGGATTACTACTACTGACAGCCATTAGAGGAAGAGTTTTTTTTGGTTCTGTCACATGGAATCTAAGATGGTTTTAGAAAGTAGAATTAGGTGAAGGTCTCTATTTCCTTTTCTCAGCCTTTATAAAGTTTGACTTTAGGGATGATAATTTTATGATTCTTATGTAGACATAGTGATCTGTCAAAAGCTTTGTTAGAATTAAATTTATAATGCTACTTTTAAAACCATGGGAATTTTTAAATTGAAAAGTTCCCAAGAAAGCTTGAGAGGGAATGAAGAAATCTATTTGGCTAGAGGCAAAAGCCTCAATAATAGGATGAAATGGGAAATTTCTGTTTCTGCAGGCTGAAAAAATGAGTACTAATGAAGTAAATGGGTTTTCTCTCTTTTATAGGAAAAGGCATTAATAGCTGCTCAGCTGGACAACGCCATTGAGAAGGAATTACTGGAGAGACTGAAACAAGATACGGTGAGAAAGCTTGTAACTTTGGGGTACAAGTTTATTTATTTATCTATTTATTTAATTTTGGTACTGGGGATTGAACCCAGGAGCACTCAACCACTGAGCCATATCCCCAGCCCTATTTTTTTGTATTTTAGTTAGAGACAGTGTCTCACTGAGTAGCTTAGTTAGGACCTTGCTTTTGCTGAAGCTCGCTTTGAACTCACAATCCTCCTGCCTCAGCCTCATGAGCTGCTGGGGTTACAGGCATGCACCACCATGCCCAGCACAAGTTTTATTTTTTAAGCAATAGTATCATGCTAGAAAATATAGGGAAATGTATTTTATTTAAAGAATACTGGAAAGCTCTCTGCTCTGATTTTTATTTAAATTCACATAGACCTGGTTTCATTCCCAAACACAACAGTTCTAGATCTCTGTGTAAAAACCTTGGGATGCTCCATTTACCTATTAATCTAGTCTAAAGATTTTTATAAATTTCTTTAAAAAAAAACTGTTATTTGTGTAGACAACTTAAAATATGCTTTTGCTTTACTATTTACCTTTGTCAGCAAAATTACATTTGTTTTTAATGCTTGGGTTTTATAAATTTCTAAAGTTTAAATGTCCTGGTTCCATGCATGCTCCATAGAAGCTACCCATTTGGTGTTAACTACTGATGTCTTAAAGTCAAAAACAGGACAGGTGTGGCACACACCTATAAGCCCAGCTACTTGGGAGGCTTATGCAGTAGTACTACAAATTCAAACCCAGTTGGGCAACTCAGCAAGACCCTATGTCAAAAAAAATAAAAGGGCTGGGGATGTAGCTCAGTGGTGGAGTGCCCTGGGTTCAATGCCCACTACTGGGGGTGGGGGGAATGTCAAAAAGAAGGCATCAGAAAAACTACTCATCAAATTAAGTATTCTCATTTAATCCCTGAGGAAGAGATATGTTTGTAGGACAGTAGAATTTCAAGTGAAATACCCAAATGTAGTTAAAGGCAATTTGTTTGTTCTTCAGTATGGCGACATCTACAACTTCCCCATTCATGCGTTCGACAAGGCTCTGGAACAACAGGAGACAGAAAGTGACTCTTCAGATACTGAGGAAAAAGATGACGAAGAAGATGAAGAAGAAGTAAGTCTTGTTTGTTTTTGTTGTTGGTACTGGAATTGAACCCAGGGCTGCTTTACCACCAAGCTACATTCCCTAGCTTTTATTTTTTGAGGTAGTACCTAGCTAAGCTGCTGAAGCTGACCTTGAACTCAAAATCCTTCTGCCTTGGCCTCCCAAGTTTCTGGGATTACATACATATACCACTGCAATGGCTTGTTTTTGTTTTGACAAGCACTAACATTTAGAAACAGATACATTTTTATGTAATTCTTACATCTTTTATTTATTTATTTTTGTGGTGGTGGGGAACAAATTCAGGGCCTTATACATGCTAGGCAAGCACTCTACAACTAGCTATACCCTTGGTCCCTATTTTTTGTAATTAAGAGAGAGAATATTATCTTAAGCCCCTTAACCAAAAATGATCTAGTTACCTTTTCTCTGTCACAAGATTTGCTTTGTCCTCCACCTCAGCCAACAAACTCTTTATAAATTAACAATTTTAGTTTTACTTAATGAAGATATTTCGCCTCTAATAATTTAAATATATATAAATCTATTTTAAATATATAAATTTAATATATATAATATGTTAAATAATACAACAATATATAAAATATATAAATTTAAAAATTTAAATATATAAATCTAAAAATTTAAATCAGGCGTGGGAATTATCTGATGTCTCTAAAATTTAGGAGCACTAAACATGGGAATAACTAAATTTTGATTGGCTTATACCAAAGAATCATGTTCTTATTTAGCAAAGAGTTTTTACTATATGTCTAAACTGGATCTTTGTTATGTATTCTGGACCCAAACATTATGTTTTATTTTAGGATGTGGGCAAAAGAGAATTTGTGGAAGATGAGGAAGTGGATGAGAGTGATCTAAGTGATTTTGAGGTGAGCTCTGGGGGTAAAAGATTGTCTTTTGGCCTGTGGCAAAAGAATAGTTTCTGAACATAAACAAAAGCAAATAAACACTCTATTTGTTCTAAACTAGCATTTTTCCTTTGATCTTTTCTCTCCATATTAGGATATGGATAAGCTGGAAGTCAGTGGTGATGAAGACCAGGAAGATAAATCCTCCAGTGAAGAGGAAGAAGACAAGACTATTAATGCAAAGCACAAAGGCAAAACACCTTTGAAAGGACCTTTCAGGAGGAAACGAGCCTATGTAGAGATAGAGTATGAACAAGAGACAGAGCCCATGGCCAAGACCAAAACCACATGATTTTCCTTCATTTTTAACCAGGACTGAACATTTTGAACTTTTTTTTAATCTTAAACATACATAAACCTCCAGTTTTTGCTCTTTTATGTACTATTTCACACAATACTTATGTTCTTAATATTTATGCCACTTCAGTGGGGCAAGAAATCTGGAGTAAGTGGAAGAAATCTGTAAGTTGTGAAGAGTATTTTTATACCATATGTGTTGGCAATCACAGCTTGAGCCCAAGAAGCTTAACAGATGAGTCCCTGAAGGTGGAATGAAATTGTGGGTGTAAATATTTATAAATTTTAGCACTAAATTCCTTAGTGTCCTTTTTTCTTTCTCCCAAACTTTATATAGAATGTCAGGTCTTCAATGTCTTCTTTTTCTCCTTTCCCTATTCCTATGGGGTAAAAGAAAGAAAAAAGTTCCTATTTTTCAATGTTTAGTGTAATAATACCTTTTCCCACAACTCCATTCATACAATCTGGAATGGAAAGAAAATTCTTTCCTTTTAATGAGCACTCTTAAGTTCCATGGTAGGGATTGCCTTCAGGAACCTGTTGCACTTTTCTGATACAGCTCACCACCGTTCTGTCTTCACAGCTTAGGAGAATTTTGGCCAAGAGACCCTGAAACATGAAACCAAACAAACATGGACTTTTTTGAATTGTTACTTTTTCCCCTTTACTTTCATTCTTCTTCTCTAGAAAATACTCAAAGAAGAAAAGAATGGATAACTCTAGAGGGCAGTTCACCAATCAGAATAGATTACTTCAAAAACCATTAACAAGCCAGGCACAGTGGTGCATGCCCATAATCCCAGCAGCTCAGGAGGATCATGAGTTTAAAGCCAGCCTCAGCAATTTAGCAAGACCCTAAGCAACTGAGTGAGACCCCATCTCTAAATACAAAGAAAGGCTGGGGATGTGGCTCAGTGATCAAGCACCCCTGGGTTCAATACCCAGTACCAAAAAACCAAACTGAAACAAAACATTAACTTGTTTATTCCAGTGTCCTGTTGGTTCAAGAGGCAGCAGTTTAATTCTAACCATGGCAAATTAATCTGGATTTAGAACTCAATACTTGAAACTGCCCAAGGTTAAGAGCTAAAATGAAATAGTTTGGTTTGTTGTTTTATTTGTTCATTCACACTCTCAAATATTTCTGAGATATGAATTTCTTTTCATGCTACCTTTAGGCTTTCAATTGAAGATTTCTAAATGGAGTAAAAAATGAGACAGTCTATTAAGTCTGTTAAATACATATAAATGCACAGATAGCTAGTATAAGCTGTGACTTTGAGTAGTTAACTTTTGTGGAATATACGACCAAAAAGAATTCCTATATGGATAAATAAAACTATGGGAAAACATCCACCTAAAATGGTTACCTACCCCAAAACAGGAACATTTCTGATAGCTAAGTTATTTAATATTAAACTCATTACTTCTTTTAATTCAAAAGACTAGAACAGAACTTAAATTTTACAAACTCTTGATCATAATGCTTTTGCCCGTACTCTCTTGTCCGTAATTCAGACCTCTGATCCTCTTGCCTTTTGCTCTAAGCAGTTCTGAATAGCTTTAAAATGAGGGTCTGGGGATATAGCTCATTAATAAGAATAATGTTTATTAGCATGTGCTTCAAAGGCTGCCTGGGGGAAAGTGTACTACCTTGGGATTAATTCCCATCATTAGAAAAAAAGAAAAAGTACTGAACAAACTGTTGAAGACTAGAGGGCTTAGAGATGGGAATATAAAACCCTCTGGGCTTGGTGAGGCACATAAATAGTAAATTATCACAGGAATTACATATAAATAATAAGGGCCAACTAAAACCAAATTGTACACTCTTACCTTTACTTGTCCTTGAGAACAGTGATCTAAGAGAATCAGGCAGTCTGTGGCCTCCTGTAGCAAGGTGTTCTTAACAGGCTCAGGTGTAAGTGTTGGGTCCCTTGCTACATCACATATAAGTTTCAAGATAGCCTTCAGTAAGACCACAAGTCTGCAAGAAATTCTGCAGTCAGAAAGAAAAGACTGTTCACATTCTAAAAGACCATTAACATCAAAACAGAACCAATGATCAGACTTCAAATTTTTGTTATGCATGTCCCTAATACTTTGCACTGAATTACAGAAGTTAAAAAGAGAAAATTGGCCGAGTTTTGCCCCTTTTTAGCACAGCTGTCTGCTTAGAAGTTATACCTTGGCCAAGTATACTGCATGAGAAGTTTTAGGGTTTCTAATATCTTCAATCTAGCCTCCTCTTCTGGTCCGTCATAAACCTCCAGATAACTAATGATGACCTGCTCCAGCCTCTTCAAGTGCCGGACAGTTAGGATCCCCAACCTAAAAATAGAAGAGAAAATGTGATGCCAAAGAGTTGAATTTGGGATGTATGGCTAGACCAGCAACCCAGATACTTGCCTCTTCACAAAAGCTGGTAGGTTTCTTGCATAAGTCCTACGTAAGAGAAGGCGATGCTCAGGTTCCATATGGGTTAGGATCAGCCGCAGTACCTCATCACAGTGTGTGGTGGTGCGAGCTCCATCTCCCTTCCAGTGCATGGTTTTCTCCAGGATGGGGAATAAATCCAGGAGACACAGGAGCACAGCCTAAAAGGAATAAATGGAAAGAAACTATAGTTCATCCGTTTGCATTCACAACACTCTTGATTTTTCTAAGAACTTCATTAATCTACTGTCTTTGGGTTCCATGTCATAGCAATTCTAAGATACCAAAGTAATTAATATATTGGATGCAAATTATTTAACACCGTCTTCACATCCTTCATCTCCATTTTTCCTAAGGATTGTTCCTTACTAGTTTGTGAAATGGGAATACTGGCAGAGCTGGGATGTTTATCCAGACTTTAGGAATTTAAGTCTATTGTCACTAAGTAAAAGTGACTTAGTGATAACTTCATATTTACATGTACTATCAATAAATCCACTTCCACACAGAATCTAAGATAGTCCAAATTAGTATCACATTTGATCACCCTATCTGAAGTTACAGTATCCAGACCCTCCCCTTTTAGTTCTCCTGGGATGCTTGGTTATTCTTAGTGTTTTGCATTTTCAAAAGTCTCTTCTTCACCATCTTAAAAGCCATAAATATACTCTTACCTGTTAGTATGTGGAGTGTCAATAACTCCAAATACTAATTTAAATATAAAAGTAAAAAAAATAAAGAGAAAAAAAAGATGCTGGAGGAGGAGGTAGACAAGACATTTAAAAAGATCAAAGATTAGAGGTATAATTCTGGAAGAGTGCTGCCCAACATGTACAGGGATCTGGGTTCCATCCCCCCCCGACACACACACAAACCTGTAATTTTATAGATTTGTTTCTTCTGTCTTCAGAATATTCTCCCTCCTATGAAACTTCTATTCATCCTCATAAGCAAATATCACTTGCTTCCCAAAGCCTTCTAAAATCATCCCTAACACCACCCCAACCTGGTTAGTTGCCTGTTGCTAGACATCTGCTGCATTTTACACAAACCTAATATAGTTATCACTCATATTGCACATGTGTTCAGATATGTGAATACATAATCAATTACCTTACTATCCCTCCAAAGGATTTCTTAAAGCCTACCTAATTCATTTATCTCTGAATCTTACAATAGTTACTGGCACATAATGGGTATCAGTGACTACTGGATGAAAAAATAAATGACACTAAATATTTACATATAATGAGTTTCAAGTGCATATGTTGATATAAGGCAAGAAAGAAGGAAGAACATTAAAATTAATAAAAAAGAACTTTTTCAGACATTTAGCTGCCGATAAGTGATACATAACTGACCAACGTGAAGGCAAACCACTGGTTTTTCTTTGAAGACTCAGGTGTGGATGCCTGTCTAATGTTGAGCTATTTTTTAGGCAACAGATTTTATTTATCATCGTTACTTTATAAGAGAGGAACAGGTCTCTCAACTACTCAGTACTTACATAGTGCAATCTTCTACTCAATTTTGGAGAACTCAAACAGTTGAATAAACCTTACCTGAATGAGGTTGTGTTCTGGCATGTACAGGTGGTTGAAAATGGCATGGTATATGACCTGGGCTCTGTTAAACTGGAGCAAATCAGCAGCTGGCTGCAATCAGACAAGTTATCCAATTAAAAGTTTTCCAAGACTGGCAAAATGTTGGTAATTCTCCAAATTAGATTATGGGTACATGGAGGCTAATTATATCAGTCTATTTCTGCATATATTTTAAAAGCTCTACAATACAAAATTTTTAAGTTTCCTTCAATACTAGCTTGCACATTTGGGTACAATCCCTTTCAGGTTCAGTTTTTTTCCCTTGTTCGAAGTCAACTGTTAATCACTCAAGGTCTAGTTATTCAGTATGATAATGATCCATCCTTCCTGTTTCTACTATAACTATCCTTTTTGCTTTTTTTTTAAAAACTCAGGACCTCATGCATGCTATGAACACACTCTAACACTGAGCTATACTCCTGATTTTTTGGTTGTCCTTTTTAAATTAAACCATGAAACACATCAGGTTGGCAGAGGAGAAATTTAAGAAGAAAAATAAATAAGTGAATTTAATGACTTAATGACTTAAGCTAGTGAATGAACATAAGTGAAAATAATAGCTATATATGATGACTTAAGAATGGTCATGAATAACTAACTCAGTCTGTCCCATCAACACAGGTGACAGCAGAAATTGCTTACCACATTAAGCACAATGTGATGAAGGCAGCGTACACCCAGGATTTTGTTCTCAGTTTGATAATCATCTGAGATGAGCAATGATGGGGGAAGTATCCTTTCTAGGTGTTGGTATAGCCAGGGTCGAGTGACCTGTTGCAGAATCCATGAGAAAACATGTTTGGCAGCAGGGTTATTTTTCCAGGTTTCCCTAAATGCATACATGAAACAACATAAAGTGATGTGATGTTAATTAGCAATATAATTAACCAGTTCAAACTGAACAGAGTATTTTTTATTCTTGAAAAAATACACCTCACATAGGATAAGTCTTGGTTTTATAACACTTATTTTATGATTTGAGTTAAAATAATTTCCATAATTGGGCTGGGGATATAGCTCAGTTGGTAGAGTACTTGCCTCACATGCACAAGGCCCTGGGTTCAATCCTCAGCACCACACACAAAAAAAGTAATAATAATTTCCATAATCTACACTAAATATAACAATCATCAAGGGCTCTCTGTTTAAAACTTATCCAATGAGAAACAGTTATTTATAACCACAGCTATGTAAAGAATCTGAGGTGACAGTGGTGTTGGTGACTATTACAGTAAATATGTTCTGAAAAGGGAAAGAGGAATAATGGAAATGTCTTGGCATTACTATAAGGGAACAAATGAATCAATACATAAGCACCAATTTAGAGATTATAAAGTGAATTTGCACATGACTCAACTAATCCTCAAAATAACTGTTAGTATATATATTTATATTAAAAATAATGAAACAGCTGGGTTTCATTATTTTTAATATAAATAATATATATTATTTATACTAAATAATATATAAATAATCCCAGCGTCTCAGGAGGCTGAGGCAGGAGGATATCAAGTTCAAAGACCGCCTCAGACCGGTGAGGTACTAAGCAACTCAGTGAGACCCTAAATAAAATACAAAATTGGGCTGGGGATGTGGCTCAATGGTTGAGTGCCCCTAAGTTGAATCCCTGGTAAACACCTGCCATCAAGGAAACAGATTCAGAGAGGCTATCTAAACTGGTTCTACTCAGAACAATAAAAGGAAGCCCTTGGGCTGGGGTTGTGGCTTGGCGGTAGAGCGCTCACCTAGCATGCGCGAGGCCCTGGGTCTGATCCTCAACACCACATAAAAATAAGTAAATAAACAAAATAAATATTAAAAGAAGAAGCCCTTGTCCTCCATGTTCCTGGTAAAAATGACAGTTTATGGTATTTTTTTGTCATCACTTCAGTGCTACAAATACTTCCAAAGTATCAAGTGAAAAAAAGAGTCATTATTTTTTCATTCCAAATACTACTTCTCTATCTAAAACCTAGTGATGAGTTTAAAGATCCCCAAATTGAAATTCAAACTTTTGTTTTTGTGGTGCTGGGGAATCAAACCCAAGTCCTGCCTCATGTTAGGCATGTGCTCTACACTCTCAACCCCTCAAATCATAAGTTTTTAAAATCCTCTCCAAATCCCTATCTTCACCTAGGTTAAGAAACATAATTCCAGATCAGTGGGACAGGATTTCCAATTTTTCAAGGCAAATATCTAGTGCCAGAAAGAACATTGTAAAATCAAGCCTGAAAACCTTGGTTTTAATCTCATATTTACTACTATCTAGTGCATTTTTAACAAGTCAGTTTTAAGAGATCTACTATTACAACATCTTTATTTTCCTGATGAATAAACTTGGGTTCTTTGAGCTCTAACCTTCCACTACATTAGGTTGAAGCTCATGTGGCAAAGGGAAGGAGTACTCACTTATTCAAATCGGGTTTGAGTAGCCCCATTACCACAATAAATTTCCCTTTCTCATCTTCATTTTCTCCGCATAAGAATCCTGCCTCAGAACTGCATCCAGTAACTCGAAGTAGTAAGGAGAGCACCTCTCCAGCAACCTCCTGAGATTTTGGGCTGGTCCATGGTTTCTCCAAGCAGTGTGTGATAGCAAAAATATAGATGGGTCCTGCCAAGTGACGTAGGCCTGTCTCCCATGCAGGGCAGTCAAGAGAATTCTTGGCAGTCTCGACTTTCCCCAACAGTATAAGAAAGAGTAACCCAACTTCTGCTGCTTTCTCATCTACTTCAGAGTGACTATCACTTCCACCTTCCTCTTCTTTGTATGGGGCTGCGTACTTTCCCAGAGCTTTTGCCACCTGCCCGAGTATTTCAGGTATTCCACGGTGCGGTTCGCCACTCTCCTCAAATAATCTGTTACACTCTGTGGCTTCTATTAGAGCACAGAGGTCTTTAAGAGCGACATCTCTTGAGTTGCTTTGTCGTGCCTCCTGGCCGGTAAGGCGGTGCAAAATCTTGGAGAAATTCTGTTCGAGGGCAGAGGGAGACCACTCGCCAGGCAAGGAAGAGCCTTCCCGCGGTGTTTCCTTCGCGCTCTCAAGCTCCATTCCTCCGGCTGCAGCAGTAAAGATCTGGTCTCCGTTGGAGCACGAAGCTAGAGGCTGGATAGGACCCACTAAAGAGGGGAGAGATGACTCGGAAGCTGGAATTATGCCAAAGGACAGTTAACTATATTCAAATAAAAGGGCGAGACGTCTGGGAGCAGGGTGACAAGTTTGATCGGGTTAATAAAGTGCAAGGGAAATGCGCCTTGCTGGTAAAAAGTCTCAGACTTGTAACTGGGAAGTGGAGAAACTACTCTTTCTGAAGACACCCCACTTCCCCTCCATTTTTTCTTTTTCTTTTTTTTAAGAAAGAACCTGGTGAGCTGAGACACGAACACAATAAGAATGCGAATACCTGCCGGGTATCCCACACACCATCTGTCTCTGGCAGTATCCGGCACCACCAAACCTCGTTGCCGCAAAGCACAAGGCTAACTTCCGCCGATACTGACGCAACCTTCTATTTCACGACTTACGGTCGGAAAGCCATAAAGATAGGCTAAGAAAACAGGCAGAAAAGGTGGAGCTCTAGCGAATATATTTACATATATAAGCACCCGCTCACTAATTTAGTTTCTGTTTTGTTTTGGTAAGATGGGAAAGAAAGTTGTCACAGAGTATCAGCTCTGCTTTTTGAAGTGTACAGAATTTTTTGTGTTAAAATTGGATATATGTGAAATTATCTAATCACCCTATTCGAAAAATTAGTGGCACATACTTGGGACTGCTTACCAGAAATTACGGGTCTGATCCTTCGGTTCATAAGCGTGATGATTGGGTATTCACGCTCTTGTGTGAGATGTGCCTCCCTCTAAACCTTGTTACGACATTGGCACATTACCCGTCTGACGTGAACTTAAAGGATCGTATAACTTTTTTTCACGTTTATAAGTTCGTGGAGGCATAATCTTTTGGGTTCTTATTAGCTTATAGTGTTGCCCCAGCTTGTAAAATGTATGTAGGTTTTTTTTTGTTTTTCGTTTAAGTGTAGGTGGTTATTTTTGTGTAGGTCTTATCTTTTATTGTGGATACTGTCGAACATTTCACCGAACGGAGCGCGGTCACTCCCGCACCCAGCAGTAGGTGTGGCTTTCTGCACTGTCCCTCCGGTGCGGGGGTGCGTAGCTCTGGTTCTGGGCTGCTGGCGGCGAGTAGAACGAACCCCAGAGCGACCGCAAGAGAGCGGGAAGGGCGCAGGCCTTGCAGGCTGGGGCTCCTGGAGCCAGGTCCAGGACCGCCGTCTTGGTAGAGTTTTAACCAGGCGCCTAGCATCGAGTCCTTTACCTTAGTCCATTTCCCGCCGTGCAGACCTGATTTCCCCCTCTCATTGCAGTTTCCCCGGGGGCGGAATTGCGTTCGCTTAACTTTAGTAAAGCTCCTCCTGGCCTGGTCTCCGGGCACTGTGCCCTGCCCCTTTGGGAGTTTGCCAGAGGTGTCACGGTGTCCCAGGAGTCTGAAGAAGCCAATGTCGTTTGTGCCAAGGCGTGGGCAGGAGCGGAAAAAATACGGACTTTGAGCATCAGGAGGGTCGGTAGAGACTACTGGGCCGTTTCTCGGAACGGGATCCACGGGGAGGCTCTACGCTTCTCTGCTGCCACCCAGCAGCCCTGCCTGTGGCCAGCGGCCTGTGCCACCCTGCAGCAGAGGCTTTGGGTTTTATCCCGCCTCCAGGTCCCTGAAAGTCCAGAAGAAGCCCCTTGTGGCCTCCGGATTGTGGGTGTGTGTGTTCGAGGAGTGAGCCGTGACACGTCAGTGGTTCCTTGTCCTCCTGGAGGTGGTTATGGTGCAGGGGGCTATACGACCCCCACTTGGCATGTTCTTGGTACAGGACTTGCAACTAACCAATCTACTCTGTCTTCCTGTCTGCCTTGATTTTTTTTTTCTTCCCTGTGACTTTGGGCAAAAGTTCAATATTCCAAGAACATTCTATGCATTAATTTTTTATATGTATTTTTTGTAGTTGTACACAATAACTTTTTATTTATTTTTATGTGGTGCTGAGGATCGAACCCAGGGCCTTGCACATGCGAGGCAAGCGCTCTACCGCTGAGCCATAACCCCAGCCCCTGCCTTAATTTTTTTACTGGAAAAAATGTAGTTGATGATAGTCCCTACCTGCCTCTTAGAATTGTTTTGAGAAAGCAGTTAAATACATACAAACTGCTTATAACAATGTGTGGTCAGCGGAAAGTTCGATCATATAGATGTTAGCTCTTATTGTTATACCACAATTCCCATGTTAACTCACATTTCCTCTTTCCAAGGGAATTTTGTCGTTATGACCCTCCTTCTTGGCCTTTGTCATTTGACCTTCCCTTTCTCTGACCAACTGGTGGCACTCCTGATTTTCTCAGCAATTCCAATCACTAATAAACATTTCCTCCCAAGAGGACTTACCTTTATAAAGGCCCAAGTGGAGCAAGATGCCAATCAATAGGCAGCTATTGTATCCTTCCTGTGTGGGAGCATTTCTTCCCTGTACCATGTATCCCTTGTGCTAAGTGGATCCAAGCTCACACTTGATGTGAGGAAAGTAATTGTATTGTAGACATTTCCCCCTCTACACAGAGTTTCCTGAAGCCAGTGACCATGTCTTTATCCCTAGTGCCTGGCACAATTTAGTCATGCAATAAACGTTTTTTGAACCCACATGTCCATCCACAGAGGACTGGCTGAATAGACTAAGGTACATCCACACAATTCAGCTCTGTGTGGCTGTACAGAGAAAAGAGGACCATCTCTGTGGACTGCTGTGGAACTCCAGAATATGTTGTTAAGTGAAAAGAGCACTGTGGAGGACATGTATGTTGCCTTCTTTTAAGAAAGATGGACAAATAGGAACAATGATGTGTGTATAGCCTTACACCTGAAAGCAGCAACAGTGGAGTATAAATTGCAAACTAATAAAATACTACGTATAAGAAAAAAGTGCAGGATGAAAGGAATAGGGATGGAACCTAGACTTCTCTGTATATACAGCATTTTATAGTTTTGACTTAATATCAAAAGAATCCCATAAATGTTTTGTGTAATTATTTTTTTAATTTTTTTTTTTTAGTTTTAGGTGGACACAATATCTTTATTTTATTTTTATGTGGTGCTGAGAATCGAACCCAGTGCCTCATGCATGCTAGGCAAGCACGTTACCACTTGAGCCACATCCCCAGCCCCATTGTGTAATTATTTAAAAAAGAAATTAACAGGGGCTGGGGATGTGGCTCAAGCGGTAGCGCGCTTTCCTGGCATGCGTGCGGCCTGGGTTTGATCCTCAGCACCACATACAAACAAAAATGTTGTGTCCGCCGATAACTAAAAAATAAATATTAAAAATTCTCTCTCTCTCTCTCTCCCTTTAAAAAAGAGAAATTAACAAAGCATGTTCTACAGAAAAAAATTAAAAATACATTGAGTCATCAGCATGACCACATAGAAAAGTAAGAAAATGACTTTGAAGCTTATTAATATGGCTATATTCCCTTAATGTGATATTTTCTAAGGACAAAAAAAATGGCAAAGAAATCAACTGCATTTAGAAATAGTATTATTAGAATAATGTATTGTTATTTACTATTGTATTATAAATGATTTATATATATTACCAAATAGTTAAATATGTTAATATTGTTAGAACCCAAAGTTTCCAGCTACAGACAAAAAAAGATAAAATTATCAAATAAATAAAATTTGGTGTAAACTCTATAATCTGAAATTCTAATGGGCAATGTCAGTATGAATTTATGAATTAATTGTCTTCATTCTACAAAATGCACATGTCCTAGTTGTGTCCACTGAAAAGGCCAAAAAGCAATAATAGTCCAATGACCGTTGTCCAAATTCAAAGTCTAAATGCTTTTTTTCACTACCAGGAACAAGGAATGGTTTCAGAAATGACTGAACTGGGGCAAGAGCTGTGCTGTACAAGATGAGCCTGTAGCATTTTGCTATGCCAGAAAGCAAGGTAGCTGCCAAATATTACTAAGGTTACATCGAAAGAATCCTTGAGCCAAGATAAAGGTGCACCCTTTGGCCAAAGATGGAGCAATTTAGTCATGAAAAGAATAATAATGGTCATGATTGAAACATATTAAATATATACAAATCAATGAATTGGTAATGATGTTAACAAGAACATTCCTCATCATTCACCTTTTGAGAGCCTAAGAAACCAACTTTATTTATTTATTTGTTTGTTTTTAGTATCAGGGATTTGGTTTGGTTTGGATATGAGGAGTTCCCGGCAAAGTTCCTGTGTTAATGCAGAAATGTTAGGAGGAGAAATGACTAGATTACAAGAGCTGTAACCTAATCAGTCCATCCTAGTTTGAATGGAAAAACTGGGTGGAAACTATAGGCAGGCGGGACATAACTGGAGGAGGTGGGTCACTAGGGGCATGCCCTGGAAGGGTTCATTTTCCCTGTGCCCACCCTGTCCTTCTGCTGCCAGACCCCACTGTGAGCTGAGTAGCTCCAAGCAGCCTTTGATGCTGTCTTACCTTAGGCCCAAAGAACAATTCTGGCTCTGAAACCATGAGTCAGAATAAACTTTTCCTCCTCTAGGTTGTTCTTGTTAGTTATGTTATGCCTAACATGCCCTGGAGTCCTTCCCCAATACCATAATAAACGAAAGGAAGGAAGGAAAACAAATTATATATCTGGAATGTACTTTAAAATACTCCATGGGAAGGGTCGTGATGAAGGCACGGACAAGAGACAGATGCAAGAGTATAAGTGTGTTGACGGTTGTTGAAGCCAAGTAGTGTTCATGGGTGCCATTTATATTAGTGTTTGTACTTTAGCATAATTCTGAAATTATTCATAATAAAAATTGATGTGAGGGCTGGGGATGTGGCTCAAGCGGTAGAGCGCTCGCTTGGCATGCGTGCAGCCCGGGTTCGATCCTCAGCACCACATACAAACAAAGATGTTGTGTCCACCGAAAACTAAAAAATAAATATTAAAACATTTTCTCTCTCTCCCTCTCTCTCTCTCTCTCTCTCTCTCTCTCTCTCTCTCTCTCTCTTAAAAAAATTATGTGATTGCATTTACATTTTTTGTTTTGTTTGTGCAGTCCTGGGTTGTTGTTGTTGTTTTTTTGTACTAGGGATTGGATCCAGAGGTGCTTTTACCAGAGTCACTGAGCCACATCTCCAACCCTTTTTGTTTTTATTTTGAGACAAGTTCTCATTAACTTGCTTAGGGCTTTCTAAATTGCTGAGACTGACTTTGAACTTAGCGATCTTCTTGCCTCAGCCTCCCAAGTCACTGGGATTATAGGTGTCAGCCATCATGCTGTGCTTATTGGGTCTGTTCAACTCCCAAACCTATGCTTTTCACTGCTCTACCAATTCTTTTTACAATCCTGAAACCTCACTATCATTGAACATCACATGAATGGTACTGTACAAAGGCCAAGGCA